GCGATCGCCGCCGGCTACTCAACCCTTTGACGGGTGTTGATGAAATGCACTTAACCTGATCGGTCGCTTGCGTGTGCGCGCGCAGGGGGAACGCAAAGGCGAAAGGGGCGAGTGACTGCTTGCGTGGTACGCCACCCCTTTGTCGATCTTATAAAAATTCTCGAAGTCACTGGGCCTTCCGTAGCATGTCTCGCCGTGCCTCCCAGTCTGGCTCATCCCATTCTCGCCCCAGCCGTCTCACCTACGCCCCCGTCTCAGCCCGCCGCCCATTCCATTGCAGCCCCACCAGTTATCCTGACCCTACCACTCATGTCACACATCGCAGTCCCTTCACCCATCCCATCCCAACCCATCGTCGTTCATCCCATCCCGTCTCTCATTTCATTCCATTCCAGACATATCAAATCCCATTCCGTCTCGTCCCGTCACCAATACCATTTCGATTCGTCTCTTGTTCAATTCCGTCCCGTAACCCAATCGCTTAAGGCGTATGCCGGGATGGTCCCTAGATTTGTTCTCCCAGACGTAAATGTACAGCTTGTCCTCCCCTCTTAAAATGTTACTACTCTAAATGTATGTGGTTAGGCGGAAGAGCAGGCCCTATGGTCTGAGCGTCGCCATTAATAGACATTAAAAGACATTAATTATTAATTAATAATATTAATTAATTATTAATTAATTAATAGACATTAAAAGGCCATTAAAAGACATTAATTATTATTATTATTATTATTATTATTATTATTATTATTATTATTAACCCACACCACTATCACGCCACTAACCATCCCATTCCATCCCGTCACCCACTCCATTCCCACCCTGTCACTTACCTCATTCTCACCCCACTCACCCACCCTCCCACGCACCCATTCTTCCCGTTCCGCTGCGCTGCCCCGTCCGCCGCTTTGCGCCTCCTCCCAGCGCGCTCGCTCATTCTCTGGGCGGCGCGCTTTGAAGAACGGACGCCCTCCGCTTCAAAGAACTCGCCATTTCTCCAACGTAATACTCCATTGAAACCACGTCCAAAGTATAATATTTAACATGTAGCACGTACGGATTCATTTCCAGAGTTCGTGGGCGAGACTCGTTCGTAAATACTTCTGTGTAGACAGAAGATGCAATTTCTTTTGAGATTACGAAATCTGAGCAATTGGTTCTTTCAGTCTACAGCAACTTCGGTCAGGTAACAAACCCGACGTTTTCTGACGTGAGATAGCCGGCTACCTCACTATTCAAGCAGGACTGTGGGCAATCATCTCCAAGTAAACTCTCGCGTAATTCCCGTGTTTCTGGGTTGTCGGTAAATCAAAAACGTAATAACGGGACGAGGCGTCAACTAATAACGGAAATGAATGAACGCTTTCGTTCCGAGCGTCAACGCTCGAATCTCGAGGACTGCTAATTTGGCGAACAAACATTGACAAAAGGCGCCGTGGATGTGAAATGAAATTGAAACTCTCTTGGCGGAGCCGAAAACAATGAAGGCAACGGAGGCCGTGAGAGCAGGCGTGCTGGACGAGAAGCGACGCCCGGCGGACGTAATTGGCGCCAAGGAGCGATAGCCAGGCCTCTCGAAGCAGGAGCTGAGATGGTGACTGCGCAGAGCCACATCCGAGTCTGCGCCAATGAAGAGGTAAAGAAATTGGGAAATAATCTCATGCTCAATCATAATGATCAGTTGACGTGAGCATATATTTGTTTCATATATAAGTTACGTCTTATTTTCTTTGTTCTTAAGTGATATCAAAAGCTATGTTAAAGACATCTCCATCACCACACTTTTGCCATGACTACCAATGGCCACTCTCCCTACCATTAATGTTTATTCCTAGAGTCATTTCTGTCGCCTCGACGCCACCTTTTTCTGACACCAATTGGTTTCATGAGTCCCCGTGACCTATGGGAACACGAAGCGAACAATCGATTTCTGTGTTTCTCTTCTATTAGGTATTAGAATCGAAACTCATTCCCAATTTTAGGTCCATTTCATTTAATTATATGTATACATGTGGCAAGAGAAAAAAATGCTTTTAATTTTAATCATTTAATACAAGAAATAAGTGTTTGTAAATAGAGTAATATTTTCCCTTCAAAATGGTTTCAGTTTCTGTTATTGTGTGACAAAGAGTTTGTTAAGTTACGGTGAAGGGAATGCATCATGTTCACATGTCTCTCTTACCCCCAAGCGTGGGAGTTAAACTAGGCCCAGGTATAGTATACTACATTTTGTTAATTGATGGCCTCCACGTAAATCGTTAATTTTCTACAATTCACTTGTAGGCACACTTCTAATTAAAGCACTGATTTGTAATATCTACTGTTAGAACTATCATTGTTCATGTGATTACTTTAGTAAGGGCACATGTCCTAGTCAGAATCCAATAGAGACCTCTATTTTCATTAAAACATTAATCGTGTATATTTAGTGATCCCTCCTAAAATGCAATACAAATAATTACAAATACGTTTTTTTTAAAATTTATTTTAAATAGTTTTATTTTATGCCACCTGAGAATTTAGGAAAATATGGCTTGTGCCCTTCCTAAAATAGATAAAACAATTGTAATTGATTAATAATAAACAGGAATGCCATGAAGTTCATAATTGTTATTTGTACACTAATTTCCTTTTTGGATGTTATAAGCTATACGTAAGGCATAGGTCCAAGCACTTTTCTAAAAGCGAACTCTTCCCGTTAAGAAGTGCATATCAAACATTTATGAAAAAGGCGTTGATATCAGAATTTACCGGAATTGTGAATACACAAATTCGTGTATCTTCTTTCGCATTCAATACTAAGATATTCATACATCTTTAAAAAAGTTGTGTTTTATGAATGTGGACTATCATTAAGGATAAAGATACGTCACATCAAATTTGCTATCTCATAAAAATAAAATTAATAATAATTATTCAATAAATTTATTTCTCCTACTGATAAATTTGTTCAAATATGGGTTTATTTCATTTTCCTTTAATTTCCTTACATCGGCTCAGCTCTAAAGCGGCGAATCTCTCTTCAACACGTCACAGAACGCAGCTAATCCACGCGTCCAGCTCCACGGTTCACGAAACCCAGCAGAGGTAACAGACGGTCAGAAGCTGCGTCAGCGCGGGGGAGCCGACGGCAAATCTGACAGAGACGTAACAAACGGTTGGCGGGCTGCGGGCAGGCGTAAGGGCGCGTCGGTTATCAGTCACGTGAGCGATACGCACGCGACCGCCTGGCTCCCCGGACGGACGTCTAAAGGGGACACGGCGCACCAGCCCCACGCACACACCTACGCTCACACCCACTCTCCTCTCGTAGTCCTCTCTCCCTGGCCGCCGCCGCCCCGCGTCTATCACCTCCACACCCACTCTACTCTCGCTATTCATACACACCCACGCCCACTCTCACAGTCGTCGCAGCCCTGGCCGCCTCCGCGACGCCGTCCTAGCGACCATCGCCGCCGCGCTAGCCGCCCCCGCTCTTGAGTCCCCCGTGGACCCCCTCCCCGCACATTCCGCCACCGCACCCCTGCCGCCCCGCCTCCCATTTTAACCCCACACCTGTCGCCTCCGCCATCCGCGCGTCCGCACGCCCTGTCTCCACGCGCGCCAGCTCCTTGTCCTTCGCCTCTCTCGTCGCCCTCGCCGCCTCACGTCTGCCGATGCCGCGCACGCCGCGCCAGCCTGTGGACAAAGCCTAGGATGCCGTATTTCTATACCACACAACCTTAATGCTCCGCCGGTAGATCAACGAATACAAATTCCTTTGATACAAAAATTTCGTAGAATATTTTTTAAACACGGGGAAAATCAATGAGATAATAGTGTATTTCGCAAAAAAATATTCAAGAATTACTCTAATTATGTCACATCACTGTTTAATTGATGATTTCGGGCGCCACAACTGCTATGGTCCTGTCCCGTAATTGTAATGCAGGTTTTCCCTCGGGCGGTAGCGGTGATCTTCACCCGCAGGATGGCGAAATCCGGCGCAGACCTACCGTCGGCTAGCGGGGTTTTCCTCAACCAGGTATCTCTCATCAGCAGGGCAACGCCCCAGTCGGGACACGCTCTAAGCTCCCGAAATGTGTGGTGCATTTTAGTGTATGTTTAAGGGAAGAGTGAGGATAGGACGAGGAAGAGGAAGAGGAAGGAAAGATCGCGCGCAGTTCGTGATCCGTTTGATACAGTACTGTAACAGCATTCGCCTACTGTTGATCGGGGAAACCACGAAAAACTACCGATCAGAGCAGCCGGCCGCTAGATGTCTCCTCCAGGCAGCAAGTGAATTCGACCTCGCGGACAAGCTAGTCCCAAAAATCCTGCCACAGTCGGGAGTCCAAGCTAGGACCTCTCAGTCAGAGGCACTGCAGTGACATCTGTTGATGTCCTAAGCCACGTGTCCCGGTCACATCATTATAATACTGACTTTTTGTTCTAAAGAATAATCACATTGGGACTAATTTAGTTTCTCATTTCAGTTCCTCCCCACTCTGTCTCTTGGAGGTCCCCG